AACCTGGTACACTGCCCTGGCCAGTCGTGTCCCCTGCCCGTTCAGTTGTGACTGAATGTGTGCTCAGTTTGCCTTGTGTTGATATGAATTTGTTTCTAAGTTACAGTTCTCTGCATTCTTGGATGTTAAGTTGTAAAAATAAAGCAACTCCATATTTTCACGATTTGGTATCTTGCTTCCCCTACGCTCTTACTTCACTCCCCTACTACAGACACAGGTCTCCTCAGCACCCCCCCGGAATGCACTGAGGCATGTAGTGAGGTTCAGAGTGGACCTGGGTTCTGGTTTTAGAGCTCAAATAAACCACAAGTGCGTTTTCCAATTACAGAGGCCCGACCAGAGGGCATTCAATTGTGTGCGGTTATCTTTGCATTGGGAGATGTAGTTCCAGAAAGTTGCTGTTATTTCAGAGAAAAGATTACCCCCAAGTGGACATCCACTATAGGGCCGTATTAGTGTTTCTGCCGAGTCACAATTTTATGTTTGGTTCACTGATTTTAGCAGTCGGCCATTCTCGCCTCCCAAGGTCTAGTAAAACTTGAGTTATTATAAATTTAAGAGATTATCTCGCCCAACTTCCTTATATAAATGAGGAAACTGAGGTACCGCTGTTTTCAGGCTCCCCTGTCCGGGGCTGTGTCCCCTCTGCCCCTTATTCACTGGTGCTGCCATTCAGCCAGCTCCTGGTAAATGCCTCTTAAGTGGCAGGCATGGTGCCTGACACTGGTGATAACGAAGATGAATCAGTTGCAGTCACTACCCATGTAAGCTTGGTGTCATGGGAGAAATAGACATAGTCTAAATTCCTGCCATAAGGCTGTAAGCATTTATTAAACATGTGTTTAATGACTAGATCTTGAGGAAAAAAATGCCTTAGCCCAATGGAGAGCATCTGATTTTGCTTCAGAATTTGGAATCTTCTGAGGTGACATTTGAGCTGAGTCTTAAAAGTTGAATAGCAGTTTATCAAGTAAAGAAGTGGGAACTGTTGTGGTTGTGGGGAAGATCTGAAAGAACAGCAAGTGCAGAGGCAGGGAGACGTGGGAGCGCCCAGAGGAGCTAGCGTCCTGCAATGCGGGAATGCGAGAGAAGCCTGAGGGGAAGGTTGCAGCCAGGTGTGAAGGCCTGCGCGTGTGTCAGAGTGAGGAGACTGGATTTTATCTAGACGTTCAGCACAGAAGGCCACGTTGATTAGTCAAGGGAAGAAAGTACACCGAGTAGGACTGAGGAAAGAAAGTCCAAGGGGAGGACAATAGCAGCAGCACAGAGAAGTCCAAGCTGGCTTTCTGCAGCGGTTGATACAGCAAACATGTATGGAGTGCCAGGCTCCGGCTCAGGGAACAAACACTGACGAATGGGACATGGCCTCTGCAGTGTAGAAAGCGGGGCCGTTTGGCTGGAATGCTGTAGGTAGAGATTGTGGTCGCCACAGCTGGTACAGACTTTGCTTTTCCCGCCATTGAATATGTGGCCTTACCAGTGCTCAGTTTGGTCAGCCAGAAAACTGATGCTTATAAACAGTTCTTTAGATGGAAGTTGGTTTACAGGTTGCGTTAAATTCATTCTGAGTGGTGACTTCAGCTGGAGTGTAAAAGGGCAAAAGTGAAGAGGTTTGCAGGTCCAGAACCATCTCCTGCAGTCTGTTGGCAGCTGCTGCCGACCGCTCCTCACTGGGGACCCTGAAAGACCAAGGAAAGCTCTGCTGAGGTCTTTGCTTGCTCTGTATGGCAACCTTATTTATGATGGAAATTTCTGATTTCTTAAGTTCTTGAATAAAAAGGCTAATCTGATCTTAGGGCAGGTTGGTGCGTAGTCTCTTCTTGCCAGTCCACCTGAAACCTGCAGCACCTCACTCTAGGGAGAAATTCAACATAAACATGTATTTAGTTCTAGGAGATTGTCAATCTAGGGAGATTGTCAAGGAGTTAGAGGGCCTCAGAGAAACTCAGGGTAATGGTAAGGATGTAAATTCCAGTGGGCCTGGAGGGAAGCAGGGAAAAAGCAGATTCAAAAGGCATCTCTTGAAGAGACTTCTTAGGATTTAATGACTCCTGGATGATCAGGACAATGAAATTCTGCCAGAGGAACTTCACTCATCACAGGATGTCTTCTTTGTCTCCACTAACAGCTTCCAGACCTGCTGACTCTTCATCAGAATCACCTAGAAGTAGCGTGGCTTTTTAAAAGTACAGATTCCACTGCTGCCCTCACCCCACCCCCAATAAGTTAAAAGTTTCTTTCCTAGGTTGGTTCTTGGGCACAGCCATGTTTGAGAGCACTGACTAATCTTGACCTCAGAAGGGAAAAAAGCTTGGGAGTGTATTAGTTAAAATACAGATTCAAGTACATGTTACAGAGACCCAGAATAATAGTGGCTTAAATAAGATAGAGAATTCTCTTTTTTGTTCTTGTGCCTATAATCAGGGCCTGGTCATTTCCCTCAATCTCCCATGGACACAGACACTGTTATTCTTGTGACTCTGTGCTGTGAAAATAGGAAAATATAGGAAATAGGGTGTTGCTCTCATATTCATGGTCCAAGACTGCAATCATCAGGCCCGGCAACCTGATGGAGTGAAGTGAGGAAGGGGGCAAGCCTCTTTAAAGACCAACCCAGAAGTTCTACGCCTGTTTCCCACACATTCCAATGGCTAGAACTTAGTCACAGGACCACAGCTAAATGCAAGGGTGTCCAGGAGATCCTCACCCAGTCATGTGCTGGATGAAAAGGAAGAGCAGACAGCTAGCAGTCTGTTATTTGGGGTGGAGTGAATGATGAATGACTGTCTCTTAGCTTTAGTGTATCTAGATGGATTTTCACCCCGGGCAGTTGGCAATATAGGTTGAAAGCTTTTGAAAAAGGTAGCTTCTTAGATACAGTTTGAAGAGGCATCAGCTTATAAACTATAGTTACAACCTTTTGTATGGTTAGTCTGTTGTCTGCCTCCACATTGTTCATGTGGGCAAGGCATCCCGCCAGCAGAATTGCAGAGTTTGGAGAGGAAGGAAATTTGCGACTCTGATCCACTTTTGAGAGTCACTGGTGTAGATGACATTTGATATCTAGGACCCAGGCAGACATACAGACTGGAAGGTGGCCAGGATCCTGGGGGACAGGAATACCACAGACATACTACCCTGTAGCTTTTCATAGTAAAAACTAGCGGAGTGTGCCTGGCACTTGGAACATAAAGGTTCTGGGGAGTGGCTGCAGTGATGCGGTTGCAGAGTCAAAATCTGCTTGAGGGAAAATCCCTGATTATGCAGAGCATATGAGCTTTGGGTTACATTTTTCCTGGTGCATGAATGGGCCACGTTTCTATTTAAGTAGTATTCCAGCCCGCCTCATACACTTTAGCTATGTAAAGTGTTTCGTACTGACACTAAAAATATTCTGATTTTAGGGTACCCAGTTCACACATTTCACCCATAAGGAAATGAAGGTATTCCTTTCTAGATATTAATATAAACAATTTAAGGAAAAGTGTCCCATGGAAACCAGTGTTTTCAAGAATTCAACAGTGTCCTTAAAGTTCCCAAGTTACATTTTTTTTCATTCTTTAGGCACCAACAGCCCAAATAGATTTTTTTGTTTTTGTTTTTTTGAGACGGAATCTCACTCTGTCACCCAGGCTGGAGGGCAGTGGCCGGATCTCAGCTCACTGCAAGCTCCGCCTCCCGGGTTCACGCCCTTCTCCTGCCTCAGCCTCCCGAGTAGCTGGGACTACAGGCGCCTGCCACCTCGCCCGGCTAGTTTTTCGTATTTTTTAGTAGAGACGGGGTTTCACCGTGTTAGCCAGGATGGTCAAGAACTGTTTCTTACATAACT